AACTTACTGAGGGTGCACTCAATCCCCTCATCCAGATCATGTGCCCTTATGCGCAAGGGCAACAAGCTGAACAAGAGAGAAGAGCCTCAGGGTATGTAAATTGGCAAGGGATGAAAATAGAATACCTGCAGTGAGGAGAAATTCAGTGTAATCACCCCCTGCGCTGCAACACGTAGGTGAAGCACTGACTAGTTATATCTAGCCAGCTGGTGATTACAGGCAGGGTGAGGACCTGAAGGCAATTTAGTAAAACACAGTGCACACAGTGTTGTCATAACAACGTGGGGCTTCCCAGGTGACACAGGCCAATCTGAGCTCAGCTTGGCCCTGATGATGAGAGTCAAATGTGCACAAATACACGTATAGACAGAAATGATATACATTGTGCGTGTAATTTGCTTGCACTTAGAAACCTCAGAGTTTGTTACAGTAACGTCTGTGTAAAAACCAAGAATGATTGTAGTAATAATCTCTCCTGCAGAGGATCAGTCTCCAGAGGAGATGCTTCAGTGGAGCTGCTTCTCTTCTGTTCATTTTGGGAATTGGGTACAAGTCAGTCTTCTGTTTCTTTGCAGGGTTGGTCTGAAATTTATAAAGTAAATAAGCACTGTCTTCAGGTTCTCATAAGCATCTTTCTTGACTTGCTGATTTTATTAGATAACTGAAGAGGAGGAGGAGAAGGCTGCAGATAGGCTGCTATTCAGCTTTCTTGTGCTGGTAACAAAGCTAATCACAGAGTGCAACTTGATTCAGTTAAACAAGAACAGGGACGTTGTGAGCAATATCTGGGGTAAGTGTCAAGAATTATTACGGCTGTGTTACAAGGAGGATTCTTTGTGTGCCGTGTGGTTTTTCACACCGTAATATAAACAACTGAACCTTGTCGTACAAGGTTTGCGTGCTGCAGAATGCTAATACATGGCAGTTACTGGGCAGTGAAAGAGATGTTGTTAATGGAAAAGATTACATGGTTGATGAAAACAACACGCCCTCTGTCTCAGTTGCTGGGAAGTATTTTCTATTATCCCAAGAGCAAACAGTGGCAAAATATTGCATGTTTGACCATAATTACATCCTCTTGGATGAAAACGTTTGGTTCTTCTGGGAAGATGAGATTTTCTTGATGAGATCATACATACCAGCCAGCAAGCGATGACACATGGTAATAGTGCTGTAAATACTGTGTGTCTGCTGGGATGTTAAGGCCTGGAGGTTATTTGATTCAAGCAATTTCCCTATGAGTGAGATTGTACAGTGTCAGGCTGGCTTATTGGCATTTTGTTGTTTTTAGTTGTTTCATTTGCTGCTATCAGAAGGCCTGGGTCTGGCTGGTTAATGTCTTTGAAGAGTTCAGCCTGCCAGGTGCCTTTAGTGAGATACGAAATAATCCTTGTAAATCCTGGACTGCTTGGTGATGTGCAGCTTGGACAGAGGCAAGACAAGAGGGCAACTTCATCCCTTCTCTGAAGCATCCTTAGCCTCCATCCAGGGGTTCAATCTGACCATCTGCAGCAGGGCCAGCTCACCCGAGTGTCACAGCAGCCAGTCCCCAGACATTGTGGGCAGATGAGCTGTGGCACTGAGTCCCTGAGGAGACCGTAGTTGTTGCAGAAACATGACTTGTCAGCCAGGATCAGAGCAAGTGTCTCTTTGGGCCATGCCCACTTTCCCTGCCCAGTTGCCATCACTTTTCAGGAATGGCCCCATCTTTGGATGTTTGGAAGTGCTGTGGATGCATTCAGGAACGCCTGGTCACTGTGGGGACATTTGGCTACCTGTAGCTTTTTGCCACTCTCTGCTTTGGCTAGAGTTGCTAGGAAGTCTTTGATTATGTTCTGAGCAGATGAGCACAGTTTGTTTCCTTTACCTTTGTATTGTAGCATGTGCTGTGGTAATTCTTGGAGGGTTCTTCTGCTCTCACAGGACCAGCTCCTGTGCTGAAAGAGGTTTTCTTTCCCCCAGGTCATATCCAGTCTCACTTGTGGTATCCTCACAGCTGGGTCTGGCTGACAGCTACTGAAATCTTTGGCTTGTTGTTTGCATCTTACAAGCCAGAAGATCTTGTCAACAAGTGGAGGGAAAGAAAGGCAGGGAAGAGGAAAAAGATGTCAGCAGAGCTGTCTGCATCCACAGTCTTCTTGACTGCTGAACTGGACAAAAAGGTAATGATGTCTGTACTACTCCTTCCCACCTGCCCATGCCCATTCCCTGGCTGGGACACACAAATAGTGTTACAGTTTGGCACGCACATTTATCTTTTAGTTGCTTGTCTGCTGCCTAATCCTGATCACTTAAAGCTTTTGAGGAGGTGTGTCTGCTCCTGGGAGGGGCCTCCTCTGGGGTCTTATTCTCAGCAGCACAAAGATTCCCCTCTAGGCTGCAAGATGCAGGCAGAAGTTGTGCTGAGACGATCCCTCGGCCTCCCCTGGGAACTGCCTTTTGTGACTGCAAAACACTGCTTTGAGTTTCTGCTACTGGCTCCCTTCCATGGAGTAATTCCCTTTTCCTTTTTTCCTCTCCCCAGATGAAGGAACTCGTGTTTGCATTCTGCCATCAGCTGCAGTCCAAGTTCCTGGACGTGGCCCTGGGAGAGCAGGTAAGAGCAGGAGCAGGTCTGGGGCTGCAGCAGGGCACAGGGCAGGCCCTGGCCTGTGAGGGAGTGTTATGTCCTCGTCAGGACAGCAGCGCTGCTGGCTGGTGGTGGCTCAAGGCAAATACACAGTGCAGGGCCAGCTGCTCTGTGCTGCGGCCATCTGAGCAGGTGCATGTCTCGGAGGGGCCCAGAAGAGTCCCCCTTGTGCTGTCAGCCTACAGGACGGGCTGAGGGGTGGCAGAGACAAAAAAGGGAGGCACCATGCAGGGCAGGACTGGGGTCTAGAGCAGGCTGGGCAGCCAGATCCTGGAGCGGGCATCCGGATCGCTGGTGCTGGTTTCCTGCAGCTGCACTGGAGCCTTGGCTGTTTGCTGGGAGCATTTAGTCCAGCTTTATGCTGTTGCTTGAAGGTCTGACTCGACTGTGAACCTGGTCAGAGATTTCCTTGTGGAGAGCCAGGGGCTGCTAGAGGTGGGAAAGACAAAAAGGAGCAGCCCTGTCTCAGGGGGTGCTGGAGCCCAAAAGGCAGGGTAGCTCATGGGGAAAGACTCTCCCAGACTGCAGGAAGATACTGAGGTGGGCCTTCCTGTTGCGGGCAGCATGCAGGGGGTGAACCCGTTATGGCCTCCTGGGTTGGTCAGTTCCTCTTTCAGATCTAGCCTTGGCTCTCACATACCCTGGGCACTGCTGGTGCTGACACTGGGGGAACCCACAGTGACTGACTACTCTGTTTTTACACTTCAGGTTATAAAGAACTTGCTTTTTGTGGCAAAAGTTGTTTACTTGCTAGCCCCTGCCTCAGAAGATAAAGAGGCTGAAGCAGAACTGGGCTGTGAAGTGGAAGAGCAGGAGGCCTCAGAAGATGAGGAAGAGAAAGACATTTCTGCTCAAGGAGAGGGAGGAAAAGAGGACACAGAAGAGAAAGGCCAGCCAGCCACATTGCTATGGTTAATGAAGAAGCTCTCTCTCATGGCAAAGCGAGAAGCAGCATATTCCCCTAAGGTCCCTTTAAAGGTAAGAACAGGGTTAGACCAGCTACTTTTGAGGTGGCAGGCGCTTGCACAGGAGAGTGTTGCTCTGGCTCTTTGCTTCCAGGGGACCAGCTGTAGAGGGTGCTGGGAGCTGGTGCTGAAGCGAGGGTTAGTAGGTGCCAAAGAAACAACAAGCATTTCAGTTTGGGATTCTCCGGAAAGGCTTGTGCCAGTCTGCTTCTCCTTGCTGTTGCTTCCAGCCCTCGCGTGGGGTGGTGGAAGGGTGGAAAGGCCACAGGCACCAAGCTGAAAGGGACAGAGCCTTTGAAAGCCCAGGAGTGCTAGGTTTATGCAGGCAGGGGAATGGCAGTGTGAAGTTACTTGCTGGGAGAAGGGGAGGGTGTGGGAGAGCATCAGGAAAAGTGCTGCGGTTCCCCATGGTGCAGAGTTAGAGAGGTTGAGCTTTCATGTCTTCAGCTGCCTTGGTACAGGACAGTGAGAACAAGCCTGTTGTTCGAAGTGTTAACAGCTGCCAAGCCAGCAAAGTCACAGCTCACACGTTTACAGATCCCGTGGGGTTGTGTCTCATCTAAAGGCTGTACTTGGCTGCAATCAGACCTCGTAACAGCAGTGAGTTTCTGACTAGGGTGTCTGAAACAGTGCCTTGCACGTTGAACAGTGACTCTTGCAGCAGTTCAGTTAGGCAGTTCCCTCCCAACCTTCCTTACTTCATGTCCCACACACTCATTTTCAGAGAAGCTGCATCTTTAAGTTCCTGGGAGCAATCTCAGTGGATCTGGGGAAGGAGAGGATCGAGCCGTACCTTCCAACAATTCTCACCCCTCTGTACAGGGAGCTGAACAGCACCTATGCAGAGCAAGGTAAGTGATACCCTCGCAAAGACTAGCGAAGAGGTAAGTGTGTCAGAGCTGGGCCTCAGCACAAACTCTTCCTGTCATTCCTTTTGTCTGTTGAGGCATAGATGCCATAATTAGTGAATTTCACCTACTTGCAGTCTAACCAAAATACCAGGAAAGGAGGAGAGTGTTTGACAGCCGGAACAAAAATCTGCATGTTGACAAAGGACTGGACTGAAGTTAGGCAGGCTCCTACATGCAAGTGGGTAAAGCTTGGGCATGTGATGTAGTGGAAAAAGTGTCGTAATCAAGGGTGGACTTAGGGTGGCAAGACTCATGGAGTCCTTGCTGAGGAGAGGAACAGAGTGTGGGTGTTAAGGAAGCCAGAGCTAGACTGTTGCTAAGTGCCGTTCTTTTTGAATTGCCGTGTTAGATCTGCTGCGAGGCTTAGGGGCATGAAGATCCATGCCCTACAGTTAAGAGCGTGTTTCAGTTTTAATGTAAACCAGGGTGTGTTTCATGGCAGCTTGTGTTACTGTAGAGCACGGGACTGTACAAGTTGGAATTGCCAGTTTGGTGGTTGCTTGATGTTTTCCCCAAGCTTCCCCTTTTGAAATAGAGAAAAATGACCTTTCATGTGTGCCATGTGCGCACAGTGACTGAAAGAACATAACCTTTGCAGGCAGGGGAAGAGAGCTGTCTGCTACGGGAATGCAGCACGCGGTGTGTGCACGCAGGCGTACACCTATTAAACCGCGCGCAGAACTTCTCCCTGCCTCCTGAGTGAGTCCAGGTCACTCTCTCCTGCTAGATACTACCTGAGCAACGCCACTTGTTTCTCCCTGGAGATTCACCTTTGTTTAAAAGATCTTAAGAAGTCATGCCTGGTGGGGGAAAGACAAACCAATTTCCCTTTTAATACAGGAGACTCTTGGCTTAAGAACAAGACACTGGTGTTTAGATGGTTCATGAAAATGTGATACGTCAAGCATAATCCAATGTTAGGAACAGAACAGACAAAAAACCAAAAACCAGTTACATTACTCTAAATCTGTGGTTTGTACATGCCATGAGAATTCAGTGTGCAGCACTGGGTCCCCACATCTCAGAAAGGGTACAAAAGAACTGAAAAAAGTTGGAGGGCAGTAACAGTATTCTAGGTAAGGAACAGCTGCCTTGGCTGCCATAGTGGTGGTTTGGTGGGGTTTTTGGGGTTTTTTTTAGTTAAGCAAGTAAGAGACTTGGAAAAGATATGGTAGAGATTGACAGTATCGTGAACAGATAAAGATCAACTTCTTGCTCCCTCTGCCAGCGAAAGAACCAGGGGCCTTCAAATGATTTTTCAGAGTAACTGCAGAGATGGTTTTGCACGTGATAGGGGCTGCAGAGCCAGGAAACTTGTGACAAGGATGTTGTGGAGGCAAGCAGCTTACACAAGCTTTTCTGGAGGCTGTACAAGCACTTGGAAGATAGATCTGTTGGAAGACTGAGGGAAGCATTTGTCCTGCTCTCAGTTTTCCCTTAGCATCTCTTGGTAGCCTTTTTTCCCCCCCAGTATCTTTTTTTTTTTCAGCAATTGTAGTTAATATGTTCTAACTAACTAGTGATCCTAGCCATTAAGCCGGCCCTTACTGTGTGTACTGGACAGAGATGCTGACTGCTAAAGCTGGAATCATCTCTATTTCCAGCAAAGTCCATTCCAAAAGAGCCTTGGTGGCTCTATACAGCAAGCTGCTTTTAATAATCTCTGGGGTGCCGTTATCCTTCTGAAAAAAAATTTGCTTCTTGGAAGCATTAGTTTTTGTTTGCCTGTGTGAAGCACCACTTGTGGTCCTCTGGCAAGGCTGGTGAAGAACCAGCAGATTTCAGAAGCACCTCTGCTCTGGTCTCTACAGTATATTGGGCAAGATCAATCAGTACAGTCATCCTGTAGTAAAGAAAGAGGAATCCTTACTGGGCTCTTGGCTTTCATTCCATATACTGAAACGATTAAGCAAGTTAATTTTGTTTTATTAGATCCAACACTGAAGAACCTTTCCCAAGAAATCATAGAACTGCTCAAGAAGTTAGTTGGACTGGAGGCTTTCTCGCTTGCCTTTTCTTCTGTGCAGAAACAGGCCAATCAGAAAAGAGCGATGAGGAAAAAGCAGAGGGCTTTGCAGGTAAGATTCTGCTTTCTATTCTGGGAAAAAGAAATGAGGTTTCTTTAAAGGCTTGAGAGCTGACCAGGAAGGTGAGTTTGAGGAAGAACTTCATCCTGAATTAGGACAGTTTCATTGTTTCCTTTCTGAAGCTTCTCAAGAAACTGTTCTGGCTGATAGCAATGGTGTGCTTTCCTGCTTACCGCTGCTCTTTGGGAAAACCTGGGCAGAGCAGCCAGAATACCTTCAGTTTTGAGGAGCCTAAGAAAACCCATGCATTGTCTTTCCAGTCACCAGTTTCTTAGGAAGTACCTGATGTTTACAGGGACGGCTGTAACTAAACAAACACATGTATTGTCTTTCACTAGACTGTAGCGAACCCCGACATTGCTGCAAGAAGGAAGCTGAAGAGACATAAAAATAAAGCAGAAACCAGGAAGAGAAAAATAGAATTCCTGCGCCCTACCTACAAGGCCAAGAGACCTCGAAGTCATGCACTGAAAGATTTAGCAATGGTGGAATAAAAAGGCTTTTCCTTCCTGGAGGATTAATTTATAAAAAGTAATTTCAAGCTGAAGAACTAATTACTGGGTTTTTTTTTAAAAAAAAAAAAGTATTTACATATTTTAATTGTATTTATTCGTATTTTTCATGCCCTCTTTTCCATCCAGGATCTTAAATAAAAGCTTTTCAATTTTTTTCCAAACATGGATATTTACCAGAGCATGTACAGTTGAATGGACAACCACCAGGATTTTTTATATTAAATTTTACTTAATTTTTAAAAGAGGGGTTATGTGATGACTGCATTCATGCCTGTGAACATCCTAGCTCCTGGAGAGAAAACAGTCTCCCTCCAAACTTTGATTTGTCTTTCAGTTTCTGCAGCTATACTGAGCAACTTAACTGTCATTTCTGGCTAAGCTGAGAATATGGGAGTAACAGCTCGTAAAGGTGGAAGTTAAATTGAAATTACAGCCCAGGCCCATCAGGGCAGTAGGTGGCTGTTGAAGACATTTATTTTCCTTTCAGAAAATCAGCGCTACGTTAGCAGCTAGAGGTACAGTATTTCTCTCTTTTGCTGTACTTTCTTGTAACATTGCATCTATACTGAAGGCTTCTGAAGTGTAACATCAGCTTAACGAAACCGCTTCAAATGTTCAGCTACATGGCTGTTAGAACTGGCAGCAGCTGGACTTGTTTCTGTAAGCAAGCAGCACACCTATGAGTACAGCTGACAGTTCCAGATTTTATTAGTGTTTTAATTACACGAATATAGTAGCCACTCAAACATAAAACCACTAAAGGGGGGGGAATGACAAAAAAAACCCTTTCCCAGCCAGTAAGACTTCCATACAAATTAACATAAGTACATCCTTTAAACAGAAAGAAAGAAATGGAATATTGTAATGTACACAGACATTCACTTGGTTCAGTTTTACAATTCAAGAGAGGCATCCACAGTACAGGAGTCAAACTCAAATCTGTCCTATTTACAAATATTTGTGGCCTGAAAATACTTGACTGCAGAAAGAAGGATGTTGGATAGAGCTGAAACTTCTTTGCAATGGTCAGCTTTGTATCACTGCCTGCTCTTCAAGGCCTCCACCAACCTAGGAAAAAGGTTAAGTCAGTTTACTGAAAAGTAATTTCAATCATGTTGAAATACTTCCAGGAGAAAGCTACTCTTTCTTCTAATATGAACTCTTGTCTTTTATGTCAGACAGACTTTCCACAGATCTAGTCTTCAAAAAAAAGAAAAAAAATACAGTAAAGGGTATTTTTCTAATGAAGCTAGCATAATTAGACTGTTACTCACCATTCCATTGCTTCATCAAGCCCCGTGCCTTTAGTTGCAGAGGTTTTGAATATCTGCCATTTTCGGTCCTTCAAAGCCGGTAAGCCAAGTGCGTTTGCCATTTCTGTGGGAGTCATGGCCTGTTCCATGTCCTGCTTATTTGCGAACACCACCAAAATGGCTTTCTTCAACTCTTCTTCCTAAAAAAACAACAACAACAACAACAAAAAAAAAAAAAAACCACAAACACAAAACCAAAAAAAAACAATGGGGGGGGAGGGAGGGAATCATGCAAGTTGTTGCAGAGACTTTTACTGAATTTATTTAAGCAGAGAAAACCCACAGAATGAAAAACTTCAGCAGCTCTCATAATGATTTTCAGTTTGCTGATTTTTGTTCTTTAGAAAATTCTTCAGTGAAAGAGTGATATCTACTTTCAACCATGATATCATACTTTCAGCATGATATCACATAGGAGCAATTTCAAAACATGGCCAGTTATGCCTGTTAAATTATGAAACAAGCTGATAGTTGGATTTAACAAGGCATATCAAAGAGCTTGCAGGAATTTTGGGAGAAAAAAAAAAAGTTTTGCTCAACTCATCTTCTTACTCATATTACCCTGTTCTACATATGTTCTTTAGCTTCAAAACATAATAGGATACTAATTACTGTTAATCCTTCAAGGCCTGATTTTGCCACTGCTGAAGTACTGAATAGCTATCCTTGCAGAGAGAGAAATTTTCATATGACCGAAAAGCTACATGTAACTAACTTACTGCCCAGACAGTGCTGCACAAAACTGTGAAATATCTGCAGCGTATTTAGCGCTTTTCAGTCAGAAGTGTTGCACGGGCCTATCATGAGGGCTGAAGTTTCACAAGTGAAGTTGAGCTTCACTTGATTCACAGAATCAAATTTCACATTTGCTCCAAAAAAAGGTTTTAATTTCTCAATTTATGTTCTACTGATAAGACTGTCATCCTTGTTTTCTTACCTCTAACATAGCAACGAGCTCTGACTTTGAAGTGCCAATTCTGTCTCTATCACAGCTGTCCACTACATAAATGACTGCATCTGTATTTGAATAGTAACACCGCCAGTATGGCCTGCAGAAGAAAGATAAGCTCCAGTCATGTAATCTGCATTTTTAGCAGGGCTTTTTAGCCAGATAATGAAAACTAGATTACCCAGAGGAAGTAAAAACTGTCTCTGGGGTGAAAGGCCCCAGGAAGCAACTAGAAGATATCTTCAAGAGGCTACAAAAAGGAACAGACAGTACAAATACTCTCAATAGGAGCAGGGGGGAGGGACGGAGGGAAAAAGCAGCTTGAAAACAGCGAAAGGACAGAAGTGCTGGGGACAGATTTATTTGGTAATCATCCTGTGCGACATCAGGTCCATAACTGAGGGACAGGGAAACAAAGAAAGTTTAAACACACAAGCTTCTACCATCGATAATCATTATGGTCACCAAAGAAGGATAAACAGAAAAATCTTAAATGACCCATTCATACAGGCAAGTAATTAACAAGGATCAAAACAAACCACCTTCTTCAGAATTACCTTACTGAAACTAAAAAGGGAAGGAACCCACATCTTACTAACTGCATCTTGCTTATTAACTAACAACGCTGCACCTCACTAACTAGTGTTCAAAGAGGAGTCACGAAAAGATCATAGAGGGGTACGGAAGAGATCACAGTTATGCATATAATGACTTGCTACAAAACTTGTAAAGCTCACTAAAAAAAAAAATTATCGTCCTGGTTTCGGCTGGGATAGAGTTAATTTTCTCCCTAGTAGCAGGCATAGTGCTGTGTTTTGGATTTAGGATGAGAAGAATGTTGATAGCGACAACTAAAAACATCAGTGTGTTAAGTACTGCTTATGCTAGTCAAGGACTTTTCAGCTTCCCATGCTCTGCCAGGTGCACAAGAAAGTGGGAGGGGGCACAGCCAGAAGAGTTGATCCAAACTGACCAAAGGGCTATTCCATACCATATGA